AGCAGATCCAGGATAAGGCCTAGGAACAGTCTGGGCTTAGGCAACAGCTGATAGAATAGTGTGTGTGTGTGTGTGTGTGTGTGTGTGTGTGTGTGTGTGTGTGTAAGAGAGAGAGAGAGAGAGAGAGAGAATCCCTTTCAATAGACTTAAATCCTCAAGCAAGTTTTCTTCAAAGTTACAACTAAATCTGTCATACCCTTGAAAAGTGTATGTGTGTGTGTGTGTGTGTGTGTGTGTGTGTGTGTGATCACTTTCAATAGTCTTAAATCTTCAAGCAAGTTGTCTTCAAAATTACAGCTAAATCTCAGTCATACCACTGAAAAATGGGTAAATCCCAACACCTATCCTTTGACATAAATTGTACAGAGAGAGAGCAGTGATCCCTTCTCTTCATCATAATGGGCAAAATATGAGACAGATGCCACCAGACTGTAATGCTTCCAGTGAAGCCCATGGCACAATCAGCTGCTCATACATTTTTGCTGGCAAGACACAAAGGTCAGAGTAGGATAAGATCAATGACATTTTGGAACACACCTGAGATGTTACCCTTGGAAAGTTTCCTAAATACCTAGGAAATACTTTGTAATTCTGAGGTGAGATATAGGGAGTTAATTTTTATTAAAATGTGCCATAAGAATGAGAGTTTAAAAATAATAATAATTAAGGACTTCTTTAATGATACCTGGACTTTATAGACTAAATAAGTGTGAGAAGACTAAACAGATTTTAGTATGTGGAGGATTAGGCAACAAGGTGGAAATTAAAATATGAGTATAGGTGCCAGAAATGCTATCCGTATCAGACAATCTCAAGTATTTTTTTTTTCTAAAGCCTTTCCTGTGTTTCCACTAGACTCATTTACTTAATCATTGTTTCATCCCAACGTTCACTGAACATTCAATTCAACACTATAGGATGTTTATTATGTGCCTAAAATTGTGCTAGACACTGGAGCTACACTGAGAAGCAAAGCAGACTTGACCCCTGCATTCATGGAGCTTGCAGGACAGTAGAGGAGATAGGCATTAAAATAATCAGTGGAACTAGGTATTGGGGCAGGGATAGAGGATGTGATCAAAACAGCTTCAAATGATCACAGTCCTTATACAATCACTGCACTATACCCAGTGATTACCTTATAGAAATAAATGGCATGATAATTTCTGGAAAAGAGGAAATTGTGTTTAATATATGAACTTTAAAACATCAGAAACCCAGAAAGACTTTTATTAAGAGCCATTAAAATGAACATTTTGGAATTTGGTCATCTCACTTTATTGGAAAATGCATTCACACATCATGCTTCAGAACACAGGGGTAACAGAAAAAGGCAAATCTATTGTATGTGCGTATGTAGGGTTTACTCTTGGGCCTGAAGGTATATTGAATTGAGATAAACTATTCACTGTAAATAACTTGAAGGATAAAAACCTATACATGTTTATGATTTTTATTTATTTTGACTCTTAACATTGTATATGATAAGAATCAATCTCTTGCATACTGCATTTTTTATTCATCTAAAGAAGAAGCCAATAGAGGTATTCCTTTCAGGGAATTTTTTTAAAGCCTATTTAGCCATAAAAACAACTCCCTTCAGCTATTTCTGATCTAAGGTATATATAGCACAGTGCTTTTTTTGTTTGTGTGTTTGTTTAAAGTATGTTTCTTGAATTTTGTGGAAAGATTCTATTTGAATCTAAAATGTCAAACTATGTATCCACACATCTGGAGCCCTGAAATCATCTGCAAATCAGGACAGATTTCACAGTCCAATTAATAATTATGTAGATAGTAAAGTCTCCAAAGACCCCTTCTGCTTCTCTTAAAAATCGTTCTCATGTTATGTGGGTTGATATTGCATTTGAATTATAGGTTTAACTGAAAATAAATTAGAGAATTCTAACATGGGAAAAGGCCCTGATCTTTTTAAAGTTGGGTGCAAGTTTTCTTCTTTGAAAAACACTGGAGACCAAGTAAATCCTATGCCCACTTGCATCATAGAGTGGATAATGTTTGCAGACTGCTCTTTGTCTTTATGATGTTACCAAGAACCCCCAAAAGCTGTAGCTCCAAGGAGGGAAGGGAGATATAAATATATATACATGCGTATGTGTGGCAGGATATTTTATTCCTTTAACTCTGTTTTTATACATATTGAATTTAAAAACATTCTCTCGGCCGGGCTCAGTGGCTCAACCTATAATCTCAGCACTTTGGGAGGCCAAGGCGAGTGGACTGCCTGAGCCTGCAGGTTCGAGTCCAACCCAGGCAACTTGGTGAGCCCTCGTCTCTACAAAAAATCAAAAATTAGCCAGACATAGTAACGTGCGTCTGTAGCTCTGGCTACTTGGAAGGCCGAGGCAGAAGGATCACCTGAGCCCAGCAGATCAACGCTGGGGTGGCTGTGAGCAAGCCACTGCACTCCAGCCCAGGCAATGGGGTGAGACGCCAACTCAAAAAAAAAAAAATCACTCATCTTGGGTTAACTAATGCATATTTTCATGTATTATCACTTACTCTATATCATAATGAAGTCTGTATATAGTTTTCAGATGATTATTTAAAGTATTTACATTAATACTTAAGTTCTTCAACATAGTAGTGTGGTACAGTGTTGTTTTTGATTATATTTCATTAAATAAACTGTTACCCTGGATAAGTGAAATTACATATCTAAAATTAACTTATCTTTCCATATTGAATGACAAAGAAAAGCTATACTTATTTGTCCCCACTCTTTCTTTTCCTAGTGTTATTCTTATCCATGTTTCTAAAAATATATAAAATGCAAACATGATGCCTGTAGTCTCAGCTACTCAGGGGGCTGAGGCAGAAGGATCACCTGAGCCCTGGAGGTCAAGGCTGTGGTGAACTATGATCACACCACTGCATTCCGGCCTGAGCCACAGAGTGAGACCTTGATTCCAAAAAAAAAAATTTAAACATGAATTACAAAAAAGACGCAATATTACACCATTTAATTATGCCTTAGGAGCACAGTAAGAGTGCAAATTAGCATTTTACAATACAAAGTATAAGTTTTGCTTATGTAAAAACAGTAGTCAGAAAAATAAAATTTTTTAAAAGAAAATATCAAATAAACAGATACCAAGATTTCTGTAGTTTTCTAGTCATCCCTATTATTTTTGAATACACAGAAAATTTAAGGTTCTTATGGAAAAAATATAAGAGCAGATTCATTTTGACGCGCAGTCATGGAAATAATATAGATCGTTACAAAAGGTCTTACAGAGAAGCACAAGCAATTCAATTTATTTATTCTTAAAGAAAATGCTGAATATAAATAAATTTTTTTGTGGTAAACTTCTCTGCTTCCATTGCCACATCCTGGCCAAGACAATCATTATCTAGAGCAGGGGTCCCCAACACCCACAGATGGGTACCCATCAGTGGCCTGTTAGGAATCTCAGTCGCACAGCAGGACATGAACAGCAGGCCAGCAAGCTCTGGGCTTCAGTCAGATCAGAGGAGGCACTAGATTCTCATAGAGGCCCAAACCCTATCATAAACTATGCATTCGAGGGATCTAGGTTGCCCACTCCTTATGAGAATCTAATGCCTGACAATCTCCTCCTCCCTCACTGTCCGTGGAAAAACTCTTTTCCATGAAATCGGTCAAAAAGGCTGGGGACCTCTGTCCTAGCAAGTCACATCTCCCTAACTGCCCTCCCAGTTGAATTAGACACCAATGTATTCTTACTTCCTGGCATGGATTCCACTTCCTTTACAATGCAACTCCACCTTACAGCTTGAATCTGAAATACTACTTCCTTCACTGTCCAAGTTCACTTAGGTGCCTTAGCTCATAAACATATTCAAGAACGTATTAGAAGCACATATTTAGTGCTGGGTATCACAGTTTAAAATATGTTGTTAAAAAAGCAGCACCTACTTTTTTTCTCATCACTTACTATTAAGGGCTGAATTGTGTCCCCTCCCTCAAAAAAGTAGATGTTGACATTCCAACTTCCAGTACTTCAGAATGTGATTTTATCTGGAGATAAAGTCTTCAAAAGGGACGATTAAGTTAAAATGAGACCCTTCGGGTGGGGCCTTAATGCAGTAGAACTGTTGTTTTTATTTGAACAGGGAGAGACACCAGGGATATTTGCACACAGAGAAAAGGCTTTGTGAGGACACAGTCAGAAGGCAGACAGATGCAAGCCAAGGAGACAGGTTTCAAGAGAAACCAACCCGGCTGGCACCTTGATCTTGAATTTCCAGCCTCCAGAATTGTGAGAAAATAAATTTCTGCTGTTGAAGTAACCCAGCCTCTGGTATTTTGTTATCATGGCAGTTCTAGCAAACTAATGCACGTGTATATTTAGTGTGTACTGAAAAATCTCGATAATATTGTAAAAATACCCATTTGCCTGAAATTAAATTTTTAATAGAGAAGATATATATGAGTTGATACTATATTGAACTTGGAGGACTCTCCCATCTCCTTTTCTCTACCTCTTTAAATCTAGCCTACTTCAGCTCTTGCCCCGTGCAATTCTCTGCTGTTCTAGGCCTCCCTAGCTCCTTTCTCTGGCCCTCCTGAGCACTTATGTCCTGGGTCACTAAAAATAAATATATTTAATGTCAGAATCTTGTTCTTATGTTGAACCCTATATTTAAAGCAAAGAAGAGTATACCTGTCTTTTTGAAGGTGGCTAAGGGGAAGCCTGCTTGCTCAATCTGTCATTCTCTTTCCCTCCCTTTCATGCCCATGTTGATACCTCGGGCACCACTCTGTGACAGCTGGATTTAGACCCTTGATTTACCTCACACTTCATTATAGCTTAAAATAGCTTCACAAGACAATACATTTCATATTAGCACTGGGGCTACACCATACACTTTAAAAAGTATATCACAGAGTTGAATTAACAGCATAGCTCAGCGGTGTGATTTTTACCTTGCTTGTTAAACTTGAATCACCTAACTTTTCTGAATTAAATAAGAAACCCTCTACTCAGTCTGAGAATCTAAGCAGATGAACTACTTGAGGAGCGGAGCTCTGCCTGGAGTTGGTATGGTCTGGGCTTCATGGTTAATCCGTACGTGGGCGTCAGGTCGAGCTCCGCTCTGGGATGTTTTTGCAGCTTGAGTTGTTGCAGGACGGTGGTGAGGAAGATGAATATCTCATTGCGAGCAACGTCTTCTCCCAGACACTTCCGAATTCCCATTCCAAATATCAAAACTTTCTCAACGACACTTTTATTCAGTTCTCTGTTTTCATTTAGAAATCTCTCAGGTCTAAATAAATTGGGATGATCCCAAATAGTTCTGCATAAAATAGACAAAAAATAACATTTTTTGCTATGGTTGCCAACTTTTTCACAGTAATTTTGTTTTGCATAAAATACTTTGTTTAAGTTTATATATAATTTATAAAGGACATCCAAAACTTAAACATTACATATAATTAATAATATATATTTATATATAAACTAGGTATATATAATATCTAAAGTATATAAACACCTATTCTATATATATATACAATTTGGAGACATGATTACCTACATTCAGAACTAACATTTGTATCTACATAATTTTTTTTTTTTTTTTTGAGTTGGAGTCTCACTCTATCGCCCAGACTGGAGTGCAGTGGCTGCTCCCAGCCACCGCAGCCTTGGCCTGCTGGGCCCCGGCGATCCTTCAGCCTCAGCCTTCCGAATAGCCGGAATTATAGGCATGCACCACCACGTCCGGCTGATTTTTTTATTTATTGTAGAGATGAGGTCTCGCTGCCCAGGCGGGTCCTGAACCCGCGGGCTCAGGCAATGCACTCACCTCAGCCTCCCAAAGGGGCGGGATTACAGGCTGAGCCACCGAGCCCGGCCTACATAATTATTATGGCTACATATATTAGTTCGCTCTTTAATATTTGGCATATTTAGTTATTATAAAGGTTGAGTTCAATCATTCTTAATTTTCACTAAAATGACTTCTGTTTCACTAAATAGTGAATAATTAAAATTTTATTTTGATTTTCAATTGTTTTCAATGAAGAGTTCCACAAAATTGTCATTAAAATATTCCAACATTGTGACATAAGTAACCTCTTTTGCTTCAAGCAAAATGAATGAGAAAGATGAAACTGAGCCACATCTCTTACTCTCATATAAATATGTTAGAAAATAGCCTTTGTACAACATCAAAGAGAAGCCAGATCTTCAGAAAGCACCTCGATTTGAGGGGTTGCCCACCGTTCCCAAATCACTGTGCATCAAGCTTTTTCTTCCACCTCCATCTTTTGTTACGGAGACCATATTTGACTTGTCTATGGCAACTAATGCAAGCATGTCTTCTAATATCTCCTAAACCATACATCAGGGACCCACTCACCTTCACAAACAATTGGCCCTCTTTATATGTAGATGTCATGCTCTCTCAAAAGGAAAAATTTCATTGCTGTTTCTCCAAGAGGTCACAGACCTAGAGAACTAGGTTCTCTACATAGTCCTTCAATACTTTTTTAAATCTCATAATCTTTTAAAATTAATTCATTATTACTAACATGTAAAAATCAGATTTCACATGAGAATCCACACTTGCTATTTTTTTTCCAAAGAGAAAAGTCAAAGTAGAAAACCTGCATTTCCAAATTCTGTTTTATAACTGAAAGAGCTGTCAACATTGGGACAATGTCTTGCTTGCCAACAGTTTACTGGGCTGAGTTAGATGCAGCAGATGACTCAACTCCCATGCTTTATCAAGTACAATTCACTCACTTCTGGTATTTTCCATTGCTCAATGGGTCCTTGCATTTGTGACCTCTGTTTTAGATTAAACATGAATAATTTCCCCATAACATCAAGTCTTGAAATACATACTCACTTAGCTTAAACAATTTCCTCCATACAGACAGATTCCTTTAGTAGCACCTGTGTGACCTCTTTTGTTTGAACATTACTCAATATGCAATATGATCACAAGTTCTCAGGCTACTAGAATATTTAGGGTATACTAAGTGAGAATAAATATTATCAAATACACATGAACCTTATTACTTTATTTCTTCTTATAGAGGTTTGCAAAACGCTTAGTTTTATTCAATATGATCAGCAGGTATAGAGAATGAAAAGGTTAATCTCTGCAACAATATATTTTGCGGTAGGGCAGACTATGCTGTGTCTTCCACCATTTTGCTGTTTGCAGAGATTGTGAAGGTGCCATTAGATACAAAGGATAAGCATCCCCCTCCCTAAAAACCTGAAGCATGAGACATCAGTCAGATGAGATCTCGGGTGAAGATAAAAAGATGAACAGGCTTTTCATACATGTTATACAGTCTGCTGAATACATAAGAATACAGTCTCTACCAGTTTACTGGGGATTTCCAACCCTGATCACATGAATCACCTGGTTTTCATTACATAGAATTTACATGTTTGAATTTGAGTCCTGCCTCTGCTGCCCTCTGAACATGTGACCTCAGACAATGTTTTTAAGCTGGCTGAGAGTTTCTTCATCTGTAAACCAGTAAAATGGAGAGCATAGTAACCTACAGCATAGTGTTATTGAGACTCAGAGGAGATGTTTCAAGATTTTGTGCCTGGCACAGAGTAGGAGTATATATATTTTAGCTATAATCAGTTTATTCTCGTCATTATCACTGTCATTATCCTCCCTATCACTGCATGAGCTATCTCCATCTCAGCCCTCCTTTTATAGACATATGGGTGAGCTTCTAACTTTATTTTATTCAACAAGTATTTCTTATGTGCCAATTATGTGCCAGGCAGTGATACAGGTGCTGGGATAGAGGAAAAATAAACAAAAATATTTTTCAAAAATCCCTCCTTGGTGCTTCCACTTCAGTGGGGGATTTCAGACTGCATTTTAATAACAACTAGCTATAACAATGGGAAAGCTGAGCCCATGATGTCTCTGGTCCACACCTCCCCTAATGAGCCCACTTTTGATATCAGATTCACCCTGAATTGGAATTTTCCTGAATTTATATTAAGGTGTCACCCTTCCCATTATAGACAAGAAGAAAAAACTGAACTTCTTTTCTTCTCTTTTTTTTTGTTTTTTTTTTTTTGAGTTGGAGTCTTACTCTGTCACCCAGATTGGAGTGCAGTGGCCACTCCCGGTCACCGCAGCCTCGACCTGCTGGGCTCCAGCGATCCTTCCACCTCAGCCTTCCGAGTAGCCAGAATTACAGGCATGTGCTACCATGCCCGGCTGATTTTTTTATTTATTGTAGAGATGAGGTCTCGCTGCCCAGGCAGGTCTCGAACCCGCGGGCTCAGGCAATCCACTCATCTCAGCCTCCCAAAGGCGCAGGATTACAGGCTGAGCCGCCGAGCCCAGCTAAAACTGAACTTCTTTTCAACTTCTTTCAAGAGAATGGCAAGTGGATTTCGATTAAGAAAGATGTAAATATTTGCCAGATTAATAAATAGTAAACAAACAACCAAGCAAACAAATTTTAGTCCCAAGATTAATTTTGGTGACTTACTCATCATGGTTTACTTGATACATGTTAATAAAGGTGCACGTTTTCCTGGGAATGAAGTAGCCATTCAGGATAGTATCTGCTGTAGTACTAGGAAAGCAAAATACAGCATTATAGCACATCCTGTAAATTCAAATATCCCATCTCTAAACTGCCTCCCACAACTCACAGACTACTTTTATTTATTTTTTGTACTATAATAATATCTTCATAAATCTTCATTCTTTCACTAATTAATTCCCACCTCCTGTCAAATTGGTCATTTGCTATTTTTCTTATATGTGTCAAACATATTGCGGGTTCAATATATTCAAGGCATTTCTAGGAGCTAAAAATCTCAGTATAAAATTATCTCAATGTTTCTATAACAGAGTTGGCCATAGTAGGCTGATCAAATTACATCAGGAAAATAAGAAGTTACTAAGTCCTTTCTGTGTACTTCATGTGTTTGTGTTGTTATTAATATATATTTTTTCTAGTTTCATACTCAAACTCCTTTCTGAAAACTATTTGCTTTTCCCCTTTATATCTCTATAATTATGCATGGATTTTACTAAGTTATTTTATGTTTCCAAGTGGCACTCCCTACCTCACTAAAGTATCCTCACACTCACTTCACCCCAAGGGAAGCTAGTAACAATTCAGTTTCATGACTTCGAAAGAAGGTGTCTTAGCCAGTTCTGGTTTCTCTCTTCATTAGTCAACCTGTAATGAAGATATATCTCATCTACAATCACCAAGATTAAATTTAGAGGGGCAGATTTTGTCCTTCCAGGGGAGACCTGAAGTTGTTCGACCTAGCCAGACACAATTAGACAAAGTATGCCTAATTCAGGTGAGAAGTATTAGTAGATTCACACTATCTAGCTCCATGCCACATTGTGCAAACTAGCTGTGATCATTAAAAAAGCAAATAATCGAATCGCGATCTAATCTATGTCTACTTTAAAACTGGTACCGAGTTTTGACAAATAATATTGATATTATTTATTGAGTTCCCTAAAACTCAGCAGGAGAAAGGCCAAACAAGTGATAGACCTACTTTTGGAAGGATACATAGCCACTTGCCTATGTCAACACATTCCTGTCCACACCCACTCTGTGGATTCAGCTACTCAGTTTCTACTAATACGAGAAATTATATGCTCTTATTTTATGAAAACCTTGTATGTAGAATTTTATTTCACTAATATTGAAATATAAGAGTGAATTATAGGGTTTTTCTCTTTACCTACATATTCTGGAAATTTTGTATGCAAAGGTGACTTTCCACACAATTTTTAATAAATATGTATATAATAACTATTTATTAAGATACTGTTTGGTCTTCCCTGTGTATTTGTGTGTATATGCATGTATATGTACATATGTTATAGTTAATAGCAAACTTTTGCTGCTTTTACCTAAGATTATTTCATTAATCTTGTTTTAATTCACTTTAACATATGTTGTCCTTTTAAGTCTAGTTTTCTTTTCAATGAAAAACAATCAACTTCCAGGTGAAGCAGAAAAGATCAGTCTCAAAAAAAGTAAGATGACTTTTTGCATGCAAAAAAATTCTTAGTGTCACACTGCTCTCATTGGCCGATGCATTTTCTTTTAATTTTACATTTTAATTTATGTCTATTTTTAATAATACAGTGAATACTTATGTGCTAATATATATTTATCCATAGCTATTAGATCCTCAGATAAGTTTTCAGGATCCTAAAATAGTTGATCACTTTTCTTCTAAATCATGCCCATAAAACTGGCAGAGCCTCTCTGTTCCTGAGTACTAAGCACAGGTGTAGATCATACTATTTTATGAAACACCCAAAGCCCCTTATAAAAGTAATTAGGACAGAAGAGTTGCTTCTTTAAATATAGGGGGGAAAAAAACTCAAGTTAAGGCAAAATTTGCTTCAACTGAAAGAGAATCTGACACAGCAGCTGGAAGAAAGGGAATCATTGTGGAAAAACAGGCATCATGTGTGAATAATGGGAGTAAATTAAAGGGGCAAAACACAGGGAATTGTGTCACTCCCTGCCTGGCCTTGACTCTGTTCAGCTGGTGGTCTGGTCCTTTGGGGCATGCTATTGTGCCAATTAGTGAATGATCAGTCGATTTCCAGGGAAGAGAGATGTTCCCAGTCCTTTGTTATTTAAAGGGAGGGGAGAGAAAGCATTGAGAATTCCTTTAAAAAAAAATCTAATTGCAAGAAATAAAAACAGACGTAACTACTAGAACTTTGGTTCTTCACACACATGTTTAATGAAGCCTATCTACCTAAACTACGCTGGCACTCATTTGTGTGCAGGAGATTCTGACATAAGGCTCCGTAAATGTATAAGCCACAACAAATGAAAATTTGATCTTTTTGTAAACAACCCCCTTAAAAAGTGGGCAAAAGACATGACTAGACAGACACTTCTCAAAAGAAGATATATGGGCAGGCAACAGACACATGAAAAGGTTCTCAGCCTCACTAATCATCAGAGAAATGCATATCAAAACCACATTGAAATGCATATCACCTTACCCCAGTAAGAACAGTCATCATTAATAAAACAAACAACAACAGGTGCTGGTGAAGATGTGGAGAAAAGGAAATGCTTCTACTCTGCTGGTGGGAATGGAAACTTGTTTAACCTCTATGGAAAACAGCGTGGTGATTTCTAAAAGAACTAGAAATTGACCTTTCATATGACCCAGCAATCCCCCTACTGGGAATATACCTGGAGGAACTCAAATCATTCTATAAAAAGGATACCTGTACATGCATGTTTATTGCAGTACTATTCGCAATAGCAAAAACATGGAACCAACCGTGCTGCCCATCAAAACTGGACTGGATAAAAAAATGTGGTATATATACATGATGGAATATTATGTAGCAACAAAGAAGGACAAACATATGGAGTTTGCAGCAATTTGGATGGATTGAGTCTATCATACTCAGTGATCTATCAGAAACAAAGAATCTAGTACTACATGTTCTCACTTATAAGCAGACCCTGAACGTTTACCATAATACAATAAGAAAGGGATTGGTAGTAGCAGGACACTGACAGGGGAGGGAGGGGTGACACATAACACCAATAAGGGTACTTGGTCTCAAACCAGGCAAAGAGGGGATCAAAGGGAGGCCCAAACTTTACCTGTACAATGAACACTTATATACCTAATCCTGAATTGTATCCCACATCTTTAAAATAAAAATTTAAAAAAAAAAATCTGTTTGTAACCACATTGGCTTCCTTAGTGTATTGCAAAAGTCTAGGCTACTGAAAGCGAAGCCAAATCAGCAGAAAGCTAAGTCTGCTTATCAGATGAAGTTAAACAAGTTTACATGACATTTCATAGCCAAATAAAAATTATGGTCAGATTATCTATTGTTTGGAATTCCAATCTTCTTCTCTCTTCTTGATTAGTACATATGAGTGTAAGAGGAAAGTTAATGGCATCATAGTTTAGTAATGAGAAATAATCACAAAATATACCTTTGCCTTACACAAAAACTATTATGAGAGGACTTCAAAATACAATGAAATATGATTTAAAGTAATATCAAAACAACAACACAGTATAGATTTTAAAACACTTAACTACTTCACTGTCAGATTCCTCCCTGCCCCACCACACCATAGGTTACTGTTTCAAAGGAGAATCCTGTCCTTACCAATGTGGAATAGTAAAAGGAAGAAAGGAGGCATATCTGAATACTTCATTTATGAAAGCTTCAGTGTATGGTAAACTTTTCCTGTCTTCAAATGTGGGTGGTTTCAGTCCGATGTTTCTATCTTAAAGAAAATATTTTTTAATTCAATAGGAAAAAATGATAATTATAAGAATTGTATTTTTCATCTGAAAGCACGTTACCAATTTCTTCTTGAATTGTGGCTTGGATTTCTGGATAGTGTATCAAATAAAGAAAGCTCCAATATAGACATGTTGATACTGTTTCAAACCCTAAAAAAAAAAAAAAAAAAAAAAAAGACATAAGAGATCCAAGTGTCAGGGAAAAAAGTAGTAGCAAAATCGCCATGCTTACTTTACCTCATATGAATTCTTAATTCTTATTGAATGCTAAGAATTAAGTTAAGGGGATCAACAAAGAATAGAATCACACTAAAATAATGACTATACACTAAGATTCATTTCAAGCTATAGTTGCGGTAGGTTGGTGCAAAAGTATTTGCGGTTTTAGATCATGAATTTTAATCATTATAACTAGGTTCAAACACATCTTTATTAATCAAAATAGGAACCATTACAATCCATACATTTTTGCCAATGAGAAATGAGTTTGTTTATTCCTGTAGCATAAAAATATGTGCTTCGGGATCCAGTGAATACTTGGAAAGCTTTTTCTGCATCCTGGTGGTTGTGGAAGCGTTGCAAAAAAGTTGTCAAGATGCTTGAAGTGGTAGTCAGTTGGGGAGAGGTCAAGTGAATATGACAGATGAAGCAAAACTTTGTAGCCCAATTTGCTCAACTTTTGAAGCATTGGTTGTGCGACATGCTGTTGGGCATTGTTGTGGAGAAGAATTGTGCCTTTTCTATTGACCAATGCCAGCCACAGGCATTGCAGTTTTGGGTGCATCTCATTGGTTTGCTGAGCATACTTCTCAGATATAATGGTTTCACCAGGATTCAGAAAGCTGTAGTGGATCAGAGCAGCAGTAGACTACCAAACAGTGGCCATGACTTATTTTTGGTGCAAGTTTGGCTTTGGGCAGAGTTTTGGAGCTTTTTCTCAGTCCAACTACTGAGCTGGTCATCGCTGATTGTCGTATACAGTCCACTTTTTGTCACCACATCACAATCTGATTGAAGAATGGTTTATTGTTGTTGCATAGAATAAGAGAAGACGCTTTTGAAATGACAATTTTTAAAAAATTTTCAGTCAGTTCATGAGGCATTTATCGCTCTTTTTCACTATTCCAATTTGCTTCAAATGCCAAACGACCATAGAATGGTCAATGTTGAGTTCTTCAGCAACTTCTTGTGTAGTTGTAACAGGATCAGCTTCGATGATTGCTCTCAATTGGTTGTTGTCAACTTCCTATGGCCAGCCACTACACTTCTCATTGTCAAGGCTTTCCTCTCCTTTGCAAAACTTGAACCACCACTCACTGTACGTTCGTTAGCAGTCCCTGGGCCAAATGCGTTGTCAGTGTTGCAAGTTGTCTCCACTGCTTTATGACCCATTTTGAACCCATATAAGAAAATTGCTCAAATTTGCTTTTTTGTCTAACATCACTTCCATAGTCTAAAATAAACATAAAGTAAACAGTCAGGAATAAGTCATTAGCAAAAAAAAAAAAAAAAAACCACAAAGCAAGAAATGCTCATGAAAATGATGTATAACATGACCACATTTACTTAAAAATGTATTCCAATATAAAATGACAACTATCAAAAAAAATGCAAAAGCCGAAATTACTTTTGCACCAACCTAATAACTTCTTGTCCACTGGGATAGCCACTATTCAAAAGAATAGAAATCAAGAAGTGTTGTGAAGATAAGGAAAATTTAGAACTGTGGATAGAAATGCAATATGATGCAGACAAGATAAAAAACAGTATGGAGGTTTCTCAAAAATTAAAAATAATATCCAACAATCACTTCTGGGTTATATGTCCAAAAGAATTCAATGCAAGATCTTGAAGAGATATATGCATACCTATGGGTTATTGCCCCATTATTCACAATAGCTAAGAAATGGAAACAACTCAAATCTTCATTGATAGATGAGTGAATAAAGAAATTGTGGTTTCTAGATACAATAGAATACTATGCAGTCCTAAAAATATAGAACCTGTCACATGCTACAACATGGATAAACCTTGAGAATATTAGGTTAAATGAAATGAGGCAGTCTCAAAAGGACAAATACCACCTAATTCCACTCCTAAGAGGTTTTTAATGTAGGTCAACTCATAGAAATAAAAAGTAGAAGGAAAATTGCCAAGGGCTAAGGGGGATGGGAAAATTAGTGTTTACAATAGGCACAGAATTTCAGTTTTGCAAGATGAAAAAATTCTAGAGATCTGTTGCACAACAATGTGAATATACACAACAGTATGGAATTGTACACTTAAAAATGTTTAAGTTCATAAATTTAATGCTGTATACTTGAAAACACAAATAAAAATAAAATGAATTTTAAAAATATCTAGGTGCTATTTAAAAGACAAATGATAACATTGAAAGCACTGCACTACCTAGTAAACACTATTGATGTAATAATAACAAAAATGGCTATGATTTGTAATAATTATTATAAGAAACTATTGAGTACTTATCCCGTTCCAGGAGTGCTCTGTGTGTGTGTGTGAACACATATACACACTTATTATAAATAATAATATAGAAATGCAATATGTAAATGTTTGAATAATTATGCTAATTTTACTAAGCCTCAAGGACATTATGGGCCTTGCCCAAGGTAAATGGACTCATCAGAGGCAGAGCCAACACTTAAACTTGGACATTTGATCATAAATTTACATGAGTACCTAATGGAGGGTTGACCAGATTCAGTTTTTTTGAATTATAAGTTTTAGTATACATATTATGGCTTAAATTCTACTCTTGAAACAGAGTTTCTTTATTTTCTAGATTATTCACACATCAACTAAATAGCTTTTTATTACTAAAAATAAAAGCAAGGAATTCTATATACCAAATTTCATCTTTTTCTCAAGGGCTGCTTTAAGATTAGTGCTTTTTAAAAAAAAGTGATCAATTCCTGAAAATCTAAAACTCAGAATTGTCACATTAAAAAGCTTTTCTAGATTGTTTTAATTGTAAATTTACCTCTATAATGACCCACTGCTAAAATTAATGTTATTTGAGTTTTCTATTTAAATCTTATAAAGCCAGCAGCAAAAATGAATTTTAAAACCAATATACCAGGGATGCCAAAAAAATACACATTTTAAGAGATGTTATCTATATATTACTTTTAGTTCACAGTAATCAGAAGTGTCTAGATTCTGATGGTAACAACTTTGAACACCTCTTGTAATTGTAGTAGTTAAATGTGACTTGTATTCATCCTTTGTTATAGGTATATATTGAGTATTATAACATTAATACAGTTTTTTCTTTTCTTAAAATGTGTATACTTTTTTGTCACTCTCTGTATTTAATCTCTAGATTTTCACGATGACAGCATGGGAAATGATGAATATATTTACCAAATATTGACCATTTAATTGCATTGTCATCTGAGATGGGGGCTTCAACTAGCCTCACTTTAAAGATGAAAACCCTACATCATGGAAATGGTAAAATATTTTACAAGGGTCACACAAGGAATAAAGGTAATTATTCTCTAAATAACTTACATCACAATATGTACTCAAACTATACTCAGATATAGCTGTAGAACAGAATAAACTCATTTTCAAACTCTCTTTTCAAACCTGGTTTTCACATTTTTTGAACATGGCAATCTCTCATAGAGAGCCAGTGGCTTTTAAAATTCCTGACTCACAAAATTACTAATATGACTTTATACTGCAAGAAATTATCCTAGAATTAAGTTGTCCAAATGAAGATGCTGTTAGAAATCATCCTAAAAGTGAGCTGTCTAGCCAGGCTTGGTGGCTCAGTCTGTAATCCCAGTGCTTTGGGAGGCTGAGGTGAGTGGATAGCCTGAGCCTGCGGGTTCGACACCCGCTTGGGAAACTTGGAGAGAACTCATCTCTACAATAAATCAAAAATTAGCGGGGCGTGGTAGCACACGCCTATAGTTCCAGCTACTTGGAAGGCTGAGGTGGAAGGATTGCCGGAACCCAGCAGGTCAAGGCTGCGGTGGCTGGGAGAGGCCACTGCACTCCAGTCTGGGCGACAGAGTGAGACTCCAACTCAAAAAAAAAAAAAAAAGTGAGCTATCTAAATGAAGTTTCTGACCATCATGTCTATAACAGAGTACAGTATGGCATGAAAAGTTGAACTTTTATGAAGAATTTATCACTTCTATTCTCTAGTAAAAGACAAAAACAAAAAAACACATCATAAATACTATGTGCAAACACTGGTCTTGTACATTGTAGAGCCATGGACATTAAATCAAAGACCTGACTATCTGAATGAATATCAGGATTTACTTTTTCATATATCATTAATTTTGCTGTTTTATATCAAGGCTTAAGCAATCTGTTATTATCTATCTTGACGGATTTTCTAAATGTTGAGTTTATAATCAATGATTTGGGACAACCTTACTATATCCAAGAAAGAAACTAAACTATCTCTACAATTAACTTTAAAAGTCAAATATGTAAACATAAATGTTATATGTATATAAACATAAATGTATATAATATGATCTGGTGGAAGAGAGCCTGCAAATTGTATCCACTAAAATATGTGGTTTATAGCTAATTTATTCTAACAAAAGCATTTTGTTACATCTCACTAGTGAGACAGCAGATACATTTGGAAGTATATATTTTATTAAGTTTTATTATTACTCTTATTTGGATTAAAAATACAAATTCTATCATGTTTATTTAGTAAATAAATGCTTTATATAGTAATACAGATACTCGGCTTTTTACCCAAACCATTTTTTAACTGTGATGTACATGTCAAATGGCTTTATTCTGTATCCTAGTCATTTTTGTCATCTGCCATCATTCTACATCTGTTGATTACTTGAAGATCTTGACAGTATTACATACAAGGGAGAACCCAACCCCCCAAAAACAGAATTATCTTTTGGAAGGTGGGCCCCTTGTAACACACTTGGAATTTGTTCTATCAGCTCCAACGACCAAAGTTTTTTCTGGAAGTTTTAGGAAGGTTGCATCATGATTTGAGAAAGAAACATTCTGAATTGTGGCAAAGTGACTGGTTCTTCCACCATGACAACGCACCTCCCACACCTCACTGAGTGTTCAGCAACTTTTAACCCAAAACGCCATGACCCTCATGCCCCACCCTCCCTATTCACCTGATCTTGCCCTGAGTGACTTTGTTTTGTTTCCCCAGATGAAAAAAGCCCTCAAAGGGAATCATTTTCCCATTGAGGAAGTGATGAAATAAAAAAAGGGCAGCAGCACAAAACGACATCAAAATTGACAAATTCAAAAAGTTTTGAGCAGTGGAAAAAGCATCTCAATAGGTATTATGCATCAAATGGAGATTACTTTTTATAAATTCTGGTTTTTGAAGGGCTTCCTCATATTTCTGGAATATATTCAGATATTATTTCATTGAACCAAGATGAAAATAAATTACAGTTAGATAGGAGGAATAAGTTCAAGAGATTATTGCCCAAAGTGTTGACTATAGTTAAAGATGATATATTTTATTCTTGAAACTCTGAGAGTGAATATTAAGTGTTCTTACCACAAAAACCATGATTATGTGAGGTAATACATATGTTAATTAGCTAGGTTTAGCCATTTCACCATTTATATGTATGTGTGTGTGTATATATTTTAAAACATTATGTTTTACGTGATCAACACATAAGTCCCCTATATACAAACCTGCAGATTGTGAACTTTCAAAGATGTGAATGTGTGTTCACATGTCCAATCACAAGTTAGTTCACATGTCTGGTGTGCATCTTCTACAAGTGGTTGTGCTTTTGTGTACTTTACTATACAGTACTGTATAGAGGACAGTAGTATAGTATCTTTATTTCAAGCCCAGGATGTCCGGTAGCAAGTGTAGAAGCAGTGATGATATAGCTAGTACTGCTAAGAAGCATCAAGTGATATGATATATTGTACTTTTCAAGGTACTGTATCATAAGATTAAAAATGTTTTATTTTTGTTTGCTTTTTATGTGTTATTTGTGTAAAACGTATTATAAACATATTACAGTACAGTGCTATATAGCCAATTGTGTTAGCCAGGTACCTAGGTTAACTTTGTTGGACATCAGGACAAATTAGATTTATGAATACTGTCTTAGAACAGAACTCATGTATGTGGGGGACTTACTGTACAATTTTATCTGTCAATTTTAAAATAAATAAGGAAATTACAAAGCTCACTTGGTGTATTAAACACACCCAGCCTTTAGGATTCAATGATGTTCAGGCCTTAAGAAAATATCCCTCCAAAAAAATAAAAAAATTAAGTCCTGGCCAGCCTCGGTGGTTCACGCCTGTATCACAGCACTTCAAGAGGCTGAGGTGAGATGACTGCTTGAGCACAGGAGTTTGAGACCAGCCTAGGCAATACAGCAAGACCTTGTCTCTACAAGAAATAAAAAAAATTAGCCAGGCATGGTGGCACATGCCTGTCGTTCCAACTACTTGGGAGGCTGAGGCAGAAGGATTGCCTGAGGCCAGGAGGCTAAGGCTGCAGTGGGCCGCGGTTGTGTCACGGCTGCATTTCAGCCTGTGACAGAGACCCTGTCTCAAAAAAAAAAAAAAAAAAGCCCTGACAAGTACTAACATTAGTACTTCGCATTATATAGTTGATAGAAGAGTATGCTTAGTACAGTGTAATCACATTTTTAAAATAAAGAACCAGATGAAATAATCCATTAAAGTAATGATCAAATTAATAAATAAATAAACACACACTTATATGTGGGGGTTTGTGCATTTGCATAAGGAAAAATAATATAAATAAAACAAATGCCTCTGTGTACAAAGAAAATTCAGAAACACAAATGCACAGATCCTAGAAACAAATGAACCTAATTACCAATAAAATGGTATAAAGATGGGGAAAAAGGAATTTGAAGAATATCCCACCTAAAATGAAACTGCTAAAAAACACCTTTGATATATTTTATACTAGAAAAATTTGCTTCCAGCAGTGTAATATCTTACAGAAACTCTAAGAAATATGACATAAAAATTATTTAAGAATGAGAGTAATTTGGTTGCAATATAAATTGGTACAGCCTCTCTGAGAATGAATTTAGCAGTATGCATCAGAACTAGAAACTAGTTTTATCAGTTGACTTGGAAATTCTGCTTCTTAGCATAAGGTTGTATTTCAAAGGAAGGCAAAACTCATGCAGTAAGGTGATCAGTCACTTTAGCTTCAGCAGAATACTCAGTATCTGCATTTTCTGTGTTCACCAGGAGTTTCAAACAATCCATTTCTCCAAAATGTGGAGAGTGAGTCCAGGCTCAGTGGCTCAGCCTGTAATTCCAGCACTTTGGGAGTCCAAGGCAAGTTAATTGCCTGAGTCTGCAGGTTCAAGACCAGCCCAGGCAACTTAGCGAGACCTTGTCTCTATAATAATAAGAAATTAGCCGGGCATGGTATGGCCACTAGGAAGACTGAGGCGAAAGGCTCGCCAGAGTCCAGCAAGTCGACACTGGGATGGCCGTGAGTGTGCCACTGCACTCCAGCCTGGGCAATGGAGTGAGACGCCAACTCAAAGAAAAAAAAATGTGGAGGGTGTGTGATGTGGAGAATTATGCAACCTTGAGGAGCAGCAAATTAGAAATATATCTGGCACCGTGGTTGGATCTTAAAAGTATAGGGCTTCATGAAAAAAGTTAGAAACAAATTTATATGTAAATAATGATTATATTTACATAAATTAAAGTACATGATAATACCGGAACATATGGTAATATAGAATGCTAAAAATCTCATTTTGTAAAAAACACATAAAACAAAAACAATAACATTTTAAACAGATCAAGAATAAATGCCAATGATTTAGATGAAGGGACCAGAAGAGGGGATAAATAGTAATTAACAAAGACAAATCATTGCATCGACAATGGTCTTAATGCATCATGAACTGGGGACTATTATTAATTTGAATCTTTATTCCTGAGATCACAGTAAAGTTTTTTGAGTGATATGGAAAGAAGGTAGAATATCATATTGTTTACACAGTGTGAGATAACTGCACAAAGTGATCAACACAGAAAGAGGAAAATACTCTAAACTATAAACACTGGATAACAAAAAAACTGCAATTAATCTTTATTAGCCTTACATGTTGACAAATGCTCTCACATACCAGCTCCGAAGAGGTCACTCACGGTGCTTATGATTTCATTGTCATTTAAAGTGGCTGTTTTGGTAGCAGCATATTTGTTGTGGCATGTATTAATCAGAGCATCGGTAATGTCTCGCATATGGTCCTGGGGACAAACCTGAGCATGATTATTTGTTTCTATCTACATTTCATATCAATATAAATTCCATGCAGGAAGAGCCATATCACCATGTAGGTTGAAATGAATCCAATGAGTTTGGGAAGATAAGGAATATAAATAGATCATATTAAGCCTGGTATCCATTTTTTGCTTGATAATGGTAAAACTTAATCTTAGAAATGTAGAGTAGAAAACCAAGTTACTAAACTCAATTTTCTCCTCAGAACTTCCTTCAATCAATAAAAATGGGTATTTATGTCTGCAAGCATGCTTTAAAAATATCGGAATTAAAGATTGATTTATTATAGAGAAATTTCTAGGCAACAAATATAATGAGAGATTTTCAAACCCATTGGAAGGATCTTGTTTTTGCTGGCATTACCATGGGGAAAGAGATAAGAATGGGATATTTGAGAGAGTAGGAAGAAAAGTTTATGCTCTTTACAAATTCTGAGACTTACAGTGCCTGACATAGAGTCCCCAGCTTGTATCTTGAAAGTGATTGTCTTCTGCCTCTTCCTTTTGATTGGCGGGAGCTTAACTCCTCACACTCCATTTGCTTCATGATCCGTCTTTTAATAATTTATTTTTTTTCTGATGCCCTTATCTCAGCAAACTGCCACCCCCCCGGCAAAAAGACTAGAATTCTTTCTAGTACATATATATTTCAAGGAAAACTCATTCTTCTATAGACCACCAAAGTGTACTAAAAAAAAAAAATCAACAACTTTATGACCTCACAAGGAAGGCCCACTTCTGCCACCTGGAGAAACTTAATACATATGTTATAATCTCAAAATTCATTTCTGTATAACAAAGGAGCTCAAATTAAAAAATGAAGATAAGCCGGGCTCGGTGGCTCAGCCTGTAATCCCGCACCTTTGGGAGGCTGAGGTGAGTGGATTGCCTGAGCCTGCGGGTTCGAGACCTGCCTGGGCAGGCGAGACCTCATCTCTACAATAAATCAAAAAATCAGCCGGGCGTGGTAGCACTCGCCTGTAATTCCGGCTACTTGGAAGGCTGAGGCGGAAGGATCTCCGGAGCCCAGCAGGTCGAGGCTGCGGTGATCGGGAGCAGCCACTGCACTCCAGTCTGGGCAGCAGAGTGAGACTCCAATTCAAAAAAAAATGAAGATAAGGTGGGAACTTCCTATAGAAAGTTCTTGTAATTATTCAAAAACACTTTCAGATAAAAAAAAAAAATGCTAATACTTTGATACTTTTAAATCTGAGATCTCATAGTGCCAGACGTGATATGCACAAGACAAAATAATTGATTTGTTTCTTCAAGGAACTCATCTATATATTGGTCATCATTTATTAGGCAATTACAAATTATAGTCCTCAAATTTATTAATAGCTTGGGTAAAGTATAGTGAAAAAAAACTATAGTGAAAGAAAAACAGAAAAATCCAACTTTCAGGATATTCAATGCATTTCACCATTATCTTTTGCATTCCATCAAAATTCTTGTCTGGGTATAGGTTTAAATCCTTACCTTATCATATGTAGTAAGATGATCTTGTACATGTAGTGCAATAAACCGATTCAGGGCCTGATAAAACTCCCGGGGAGCATTTATTATCTTCAGCGGAAGGTAGCGGAAACATGGTATGAAATCTGCAGGGTTAGCTACACTGGAAGCCTTGAGTAAGTCATCATTTGTTTTAACTACTTTAAGAAACTCCTCATCACTGTGGTCATATCTCTTGCCAAAGCAAAGAGCACAAACAACGTTAGCTACTGCACAGGTAATCGCATTTCTGGGATCAAAGCTGCCATTCTTGGAAGTCAACTCGACAAAAACTTTCACCAGCTCAGAAACTTCCTCGGTGACATGTTCCTCAAGTAGGCAAGAGCAGGTGGAAGATTTTGCTTCTGCTTTAGAAAAAGTTCGTAAAGCATTAGAGGCAATTTTTTTATGAAGCTTCCAACTCTCACCATAATTCACTGAAAATGAAAGACTCTTTCCTTCTGCCAGGAAAGAAAATGTATGCATGTTTGGTCTGCCTGCAAAATGCTCTCCATCCTTGAGTAGTACTTGCTTCACCGTTTCCATTCCATTTACCACCACAACAGGCACCATGCCAAGTCTGAGGAGAAAGACATCTCCATATTTCTTCCTCATCTCCATAAATGTAAGGTAAGGATGCTCTCCAAGTTGGAGAAGATTTCCTATGATGGGAAGAGGCCATGGGCCAGGAGGAGACACCTGTTTTCTGCTCTTGTTCCCAAGTCCTCTCACTAAAATTAAAACCATCATTAAAATTATGAGAGAAGTGGCCACCTCTCCAGGAGTGACTGTCAGGTCAAATATCATTTTCAGAAATAAGGCACCTAAAACAGAAAAATGTAACACTTATTTTTGTAGTTTTAAGCATAAACGAAATAGTCTTTCTTCCTTTAAACATTTAGAAGAAAAGTACAAACTCTTTGAGATTAGTTGAAGGCTATTCTTAACTGATGCACTGAGTGGGCAAAATCAAATTCCTGTAAAATGGATGCCATCTTTATCCCAATTCTATTGTTTTCACAGTTCTAACCACCAGATCCAAATCCTGCTATGTAAGTTATCAACCACTGACAGAAGAAGATAACTCTATAGAGAAGGCATCCAGGTTATTTGGACAGGGATTAAGGCTACTGCAGTTGATTTCATACTCATTAATTGGGTACCTCAGTACCTCCACTTAACCGCAGTACATTCCAGGTTTCTCATCTAAGTATCCTACCTCACTGAATTAGTCATGCATTCTTTCAGTAAATATTTACTGCATCCTCCAATGTCAAGCACTAAGAATTCAAAACACTCACAAACTAATAAAGAAACTTAGATACTCAAAAATAAGATTGCAAAGTGGAATGTGCAATAAGAAACCTGGGTACAGAATGGCCTGTCATTATTTGAGGATCAAATTAGAACATTATTTTTTAAAAAGCACTTAGTGAATTGCAAGCCATTTAATGGAGAGCTAATTGGTTGTCTGCCTGTCAGCTATGTCCTTGGTCTTCCCAGGCTGTGTATTAGGGTGCCTTTCTAAGCTATCTTTTTGCTCTATGACCATGGGTGACTGATCCAAGAATCAGCCACTAGCCCAAGATGAATCTTCCTTAGGAATAGAGAATGGAGTTGTGGAAGGTTATCCTTTTTTTGGGGGGGGGGGGACAGCTAGACCTATGAAATCTAAGTCCTGTAGATATGATTTGGAGGCCTTTCATCCATCAGGAAAACCTGGGAAATCACGAAAGGAGTTTTGAACAATAAAGTAGAAAGGAAAATAAATATAAAGAAAGGCCTTATGACTTTATGTTTACCACTTCCATTACCTTCAGGGACCTAGATGCACTCTTGTCCTTTGGTTGAATTCTTTCCCACTTAAACTACCTAGAATTGTTTCTGTTACCTGCGAACAAGAGAATCCTAACTAAAAAAAGAAAAAAGAAAGATAAAATGCTTTATACACATGCAGAATCTCTTTGTTAGTTATTACATTTTGTGGTAACTGTAAGAGGAATATAACATTTTCTGTTTCTTAAAAGAAAACAAAAACTAAACTGTTCACACTCCTCAAATTACTTACAGAGACAATATTGTTGGGTAGTATATTCATTGGCTAGTGTAAATGTCCAGCTTTCTTTTACTTTTGAGGAGACCAACACTTCATTTCTTCTAAGTTTCAAAAATAATGTCTTAATAAACTGAAAAATCTTGCAAACAGCAATGAATTTGTCTTCTAGATCAAATGAAAGTAATAGGGTAGGAAAAACCATTATACTTTGGTCTCGTATAAAAAGCACCAGGAGTCAAAGGAATGTTTATCTCAAAGCTCTTACTCAGCATAAGCAGCTCTCACTCTTAATATGCGAGATAGCACTTTGTCACTTGTCTTATCTGATTGCCTTTCTAAAGTTCATAGATAAAAATGTGGCTAACTACACCAACTTGGTTGGAACTACTTTTCTTTTTAATTTTAGAAAGCAGGATTTATTGAGTGGACAGAAAACCCCCCTCATTGGGAGGGGATCCAAAGGGGTTGCCTGGCACTGCTTTCTAAGGAATGAACACTGGAGTTAAAATTGAGAGATCAACTTCTTTTATGGGGGTGGGGGGACACTTTAATATGCATTTAAACTTAAAAAAACCCAAAAAACTAAGTACCTAATCAATGTAATAGCTACAATTTGCAAAACTCCCCTTTTTCTCTCTGTTCAGAAAGGAAATAGAGTAAGGACTTTATTGTGTTTCATGTTTTGCCATACATTGATTTTGAAAAACATCTTCTATTAATAACAATTACCATCATGTATTGCACACTTACCATGTGCCGCATACAGTGGTAAGCAAAGTCTCTCACATATCTGGTAGGTAATAAGTCATCCTGCTATAGAGAGACTTGGAGATATAAATCATTTTTTTCCCATTTATTTTCCATTTATTTAAATAATTAATCACCAATTATTTTCATCTAGTGTTTGCTTTTTTATAAAATTCAATTTCTTTTGGGCATATACCAAAACTGCCAGTTTATATATTGACAATAATCAGTTCCTTTTCCAAAGCATAGTAGTGAGTAGGTGAGAGGCATGTATGGCTGGAAAAACACTGGACTCAGAAAAATGACTCAATGTCCCACCTCCCTCTTCTTCTATTTAGTTGTAGGACTTCTGCTAAATTACAATTTCTCTTATCCTCAGTTTTCTCATCTATGAAATGGTCCTATCAGAGTAGACAATTTCTAAGGCCAGCTCCAGCCTTCAATAACTAAAGCTAAAAGGAATAACAGCAGAAGCCAAGTGTGATATACGTGGTTAATTGTCCAATAATACTATTTTTCCAGAGTCTCCAGAACAGTTAACAGTTTATCAACCAATGTAAGTAACTGTGTGATAACCCTGGATTCTTTTTCAGCCTGGGCCCTTCTAGTTTCTTTTATTAAATATACTCTTTGACAGTTTACCAGACTCAGATGCATTGCCAACTTTCTCAGCAACCTTCTTGGAAAGTTCTGAAGGCACATTCTGTCACTGATGTTTTTGGGGTGAACTCCGACTGAGGACAGGGGACGTAAACTCCCTAAGGGTGGGCTGCTACACTCCCAAGACTCTAAGTGAATTCTAACCAATTTAGAAAAGAGCCCAGTGAGATGAACATATTCAAGTTGAAGGTTTTTATACTGATTCTAAAGCCTAGACACATACATTAGACACTCTTGGGAGCTGGTAAACAATAGCAATTTCTACATAGACCAGTTAAATCAAGATCTCTAGGAATGGATGCATTTTTTAAAAAGCTTCCCAATGTGACTAAGGGACATTTTAGGTTAAGGACCTTTTTTTAGGGGGAAACAACATGCCAGGATCCTCAACACATTCACTCAGCCCAGTTACAATGAAGCTTGGAATGCTCACCTGTGCCCAGAAATCTTGCAGGTCAGTGCGAGGAATCTAGAGAAGAGAAGGATTTTGGTAAAGCTGGATGTGTCCTAACAAACAGGAACAGTCTCTTCCACAGCAAAAGCAGTGGGGCCCAGAACCTCTCCTGCAGCTAAAGGCCTGAGAGAACACTCTGCCCAGAAAGACAGGGGAAGGGTGAACCTTGGATCTAGTGGGAGGAGTTTGGAGTTGGATCAAGGCTTTTGGGAGCATAGGGGTGGAATGGAGAAGCTTCTTCAGCCAGGATGAGGTATGAGAAGCTGGGAAATTTCACTGTGAATGGAGCCAGACACATGACATCTGGCGCAATGAATTCTGGAAGAAGGAGTAGGATGGGAATTGACCTTTGAAGAAAGCAGGGCAGGCAAAAGAAGACAGAAATACATAATCTTTTTAAACTGCTAGTGGCAAACAGAGGTAGAATCCAAAGTTAGATAGCCAGGAGCAGAGAAGGAAAAAAAGGGAAGAGCAATATAGAGATGTTGCTTTGCTGTGAGTTTCAAATTCCCTCTCCCCAAAGAGCTGCTGGACTTCAGCACCAGGAAAATATGCACTAGTCTTCGGTCTCTGAGCAAGCTCAGGGGCAGAAAACACACAAAAAAAGGAGCTTAGACCTATTTTCTCAGATGGGTTTGATAAGTTTCTCGGGGCTTTTCACCAATCAAACAGATCTGCATTTCCACAACTAGAACAGTTAACTTCTGAGAATAATATACATAACGTTGATTTGAGAAGATATCCCTATCTGTGCAAAGGCACATTTGACCAATCTGGATAAATACCGGTTTTTTCTACCTAATACAAGCTTTTCTATGTAACTAGTGAATGACCTATGATTTTTGACCATCTTCCTGTCAGGGTATCTGCAACTTATTACATAGTAGACTTTTTTTTTTTAAGTTTTGAAGTTCGGGTCTCCATGGATATTCTAGGTTTCAAAGTCAGATTTAATGAACGTGCCTAAGAATGACCCCTGGTAGCCAATACTTTCTCACATAGGGGAGATAGCAAGCATCCAAAGTGAGTTTTTAAACCTGATATATTCCTTCAAGGGTCACCTTCAGGCTATGAGCTATGGTGTCATGTTCAAAAAATATCCTGGATTTCTAAACATCTAAGCTTCAAAAGTTACATACTCAAAGAAATCTGACAAGGGCCTATACACCAAAGGAGTTTTCTGACCCACAGGCAAGTTTTGCCAATTGGCACTTAATTATGTCATACTTAGCTACTGCTAAGTATGCTTTACTCCTAATGTTTTTCTGTGAAGTATCTCCTTCTCGAATACAGCCAACCCCACATTGGATTAACATATAGATATTAGTTAACATATCAAATTATTTGTGCAAGTACCCGTATTATAGACAACCAATAATAATTGTCTGACAATGTGTTATTTGAAAGGTTTGCTGCTTTGGGAGGCTGAGGTGAGTGGATTGCCTGAGCCTGCGGGTTCGAGACCCACCTGGGCAACTTGGTGAGACCTCATCTCTACAGTAAATCAAAAAAATTAGCCAGGCATGGTAGTGCGTACCTGTAGTTCCAGTTACTTGGAAAGCTGAGGCGGAAGTATCGCCGGAGCCCAGCAGGTTGAGGCTGCGGTGGCCGGGTGCTGCACTCCAGTCTGAGTGACAGAGTGAGACTCCAACTCAAAAAAAAAATTAAAAAAAGAAAGTTTTGCTAGAAGGGGGTAATGACAATTGCCTTGCATTTTCATTGATTAAGACAAATTCATTCCACAATAATAATTGCTATGGCTAATATTTACTATGTGTTTACAAGGAATAGACATATTAAAGTACTTTGTTTTTCAGTTATTTATCATAACCAACCATTGAAGGTATTGATATTTTATTCTTTATTTTACACATGATGAATTCTGTGGCC